AATGACATGAGACAAAGTATATGTGAACTGCTGTATGGAAAGTGAATTTGCTCTGTAAATCTTCACCCAAATCACAAGGAAAAAAAAAAAAAGAGGCACCTCTGAGATGGTTCCAACCAGCAACCTTTCAGCTAATAATTGAGTGCTGAACCCTTTGCCCCACCCAAGGGCTATAATATATAATGCCATACAGTGTCCCCACACAGTAGGAGAATCTAGTGTAATGGTATGCCTGTATCTCTGCCCATAATAGTCAGTTTTCTGCTTGGGTAGCATCCTACTAGTCTTCAGATTCTGCTCAAAGCTCCTATCAGAGGTGACCTTACAAAAAAACCTTTATTTTAAGCTCTATAACTTACATATCCTGCATTATTTTACTTCATACTGGCAATCATATTGTTTACTGAATTATTCATAATGTATTAACCTCTATCCTCAAAACACACATATCCTAGAATAAAATTTAATGGTAAGGATTTTTTAAAAATGATTTTTACTCATGTTCCCAGTCTCTTCAAGACACTTGCCAGAAAATAATTGGCCAAAAGTATTCTTTGAACAAACAAAACAAAGTCTTGATGAATTTATAGAGCTATATGTTGCCTTATTGTTTGAAAACATCCACATTCTGTTGGATCACCTTTCTTTGGAAAGGACACAACTGTGGATCTTGTCTAGTCCTTTGGCCAGGTGGCTGTCTTCAAATTTCCTGTCATAGATGAGTCAGCACTCAGGAGCTGCATCCTTTGTTGAAACATCCCAGTGGGTGTTCTACCAATTCCTGGAACCTAGTTTTTCACCAAGTCCTTCAGTGCAGCTTGGACTTCTTTCAATACCATTGCTTCTTGATCATATGTTACCTCCTGAAAAGGATGAATGTAGACCAGTTCTGTTTCATACAGTGAGACCTGTATTCCTTCCATCTTCTTTCGTGTTTCCTGCATCCTTCAATATTTTGCCCAAAGAACTCTTCAATATTGCAATTTGGGGCATGAATTTTTTTCTTCAATTGTTTCAGCCTGAGAAATGTTAAGTGTGTTCTTCCCTTTTGGTTTTCTAATTCCAGGTCTTTGCACATTTCATCATAATACTTTACTTTCTTTATGAGCCATCCTTTGAAATCTCCTCCTTAGCTCCCTTCCAACATTTCTTCCTTGCACTGTCACTACTCTCTGTTCAAGAACAAGGTTCATAGTCTCTTCTGACATCCATTTGGGTTTTTACTTTCTTTTCTGTCTTTTAAATGACCTTTTGCTTTCTTCTTGTATGATGTTCTTGATGTCATCCTACAACTCATCTGGTCTTCAGTCACTTGTATTCAATATGTCAAATCTGTTCTTCAATGGTTTGTAAATTCAGGTAGAGGTATGATTAAGTTTGTATTTTGGCTCTCATGGACTTGTTTTAATTTTCTTTGGTGTCAACTTACAATTCATGGTTTTTTCACAGTCAGCTCCTTGCCTTCTTTTGTTTTATTTATTTATTTATGATTTGGGTGAAAGTTTACAGACCAATTTCATTTTCCATACAACAGTTCATACACATTTTGTCTCATGAAACTGATTACAATATTCCACAATGCAACTGCTATATTCCCACTTCCTCCCCACATTTAACTCTTCCCTGTGTCATTCCCTCCCATGCCCTCTTGCCCCATAAGCTGTCTCCCTGTGCATACACAACCCTTCTATTCTCCCATGATTGTTCTCTCCTAGGAGTATATCTACCTAAAGTAAATTCTCAGGTCATATGCCTGTCATTTGCTTGGCTGCAAGCCACAGGAGTGGGTTCAATTCCAGACCTGAAGGGCAGGTAGGGGCCATAGTCTCAGGAGTTTCCCACAGACTCTATCAGACCAGCAAACTTGGTCCCTTTTTCTTTTTTTCAAATTTTGAGTGTTGTTCCATATTGTTCTCCCACTTTATCCATGATCTCTTCCATAGATCCCCCTCTGAGTGGTTGACAGTGGTAGCCAGGCACCGTCTAGTTCTTCTGGTCTCATGTTCATATAGGCTGAAGATTACGTGGTATACCAGTCCCTTGGACTAATTATTTCCATATGTCTTTGGTTTTCTTCATTCTTCTTTGCTCTGGATGAGAAGAGACCCATCGTTGCATCTAGATGGCAGCTTGCAAGATTTTAAGATCCTAGTCACTACTCAACAGAGTAGGATTTGGAACAATGTTTGTGTGTAGTATGTTATGCCAGTTGACCTTGATGTCCCCTGCACCTGTGGTCCTGGGGCCACAGGTCCAACTAGTGTCTCCCTCAGAGTAGCTGGCTGTGATCTGGCCTTGATTTGACTGAAGATATTTGGTTTCTCCATCGCCTCTTCCACAGAGAGTCAGTGTAAGGAAATTTCCAAAAATGCAAATTGCATTCAAAAGAGGACATGGAAGGAGGGATATCATTGCTGATGTCAGGCAGATCTTAGCTAAAAGGAAAAAATATCAGAAAGATGTTTACCTGTGTTTTATTGACTATGCAAAGGTATTAGACTGTGTGAGTCATGAGAAATTATGGATAACACTGTGAAGAATGGAAATTCAAAAACACTTAAATGTGCTCTTGAGGAACCTATACATAGAACAAAAGGCTGTCATTCAGATAGAACAAGAGGATATTGCATGCTTTAAAATAAGAATGGATGAGTGTCAGGGCTGTATCCTTTCACCATAGTTATTCAATCTGTACACTGAGCAAAAATTCTGAAAAGACAAACTTTATGAAGCAGAACATAGCATCAGAACAGGAGGAAAACTCACCAACAACCTGAGATATGCTGATAACACAAACTTGCTTGCTGAAAGTAAAGGGGACTTGAAGCACTTCCTCATGAAGGTCAAAGACTAAAATCTCCAGTATGAGTTACACATTCATATAAAGAAAAAATATCCTTACACCTGGACCAATAATCATCATCATCATGATAAATGTAGGAAAGAGGGAAGCTGTCAAAGATTTCATTTTACTTGCATCCGCAGTCAACACTGATGGAGACAAGAGTCAACAAATCAGATGTCACATTGCACTGGACAAATCTGCTGTGAATCGCCTCTTTAAAGTGTAGAGGAACAAAGATGTCAGTTTGAAAACTCAGGTGTGCCTAACCCAAGCCATGATATTTTCAACCACTTCATGTGCATGTGAAAGCTGGGCAATGAGTAAGGAAGACTGAAGAAGAATGATGCCTTTGAATTGTGGTGTTGGCAAAGAATTCTGAAAATACCATGGACAGCCAGGACAACAGACAAATCTGTCCTGGAAGAAGTGCAGCTGGAATGCTCCTTGGAAGTGACAATGGCCAGACTTTCTCATCTCCTTGCATCATGTGGTCAGAAGGGACCAATCCCTGGAGAAGGATATCATGTTTAATAAAGTAAAGGGTCAGAGAAAACAAAAGGGAACATC